TACTCATGTTCTTACAACTGTTTTATTGGCACAGTAGTATTCTGGAAAAGGAATTACAGTCGTGTAATATTAAATACACAGATAAAAAGTCTTTTTCTGTAATTGCATTGGCTTGCTGTGTATCATACTTCATTGCTGCTGAAATTAAATATAGAGATCTTAAGGAGAACTTTTCTGAGATGTAGATAGAAAGATGCCATAAAAATTATATAAATATGTTATAATAATGCCAAACTGAAATGCCAACTTCCAAATAATTATGTTACTTTATGAAATGATAAAAACTATTAATAAAGGGGGTACATAGCAGAAGAAAAGGGAAAATGGCACTACTGCCTAATAACCAGAGAGGTGATCCTTTGCCTCATTCTAGTTATACACTGTTTATTAATCAGAACAGGATAGGCATGAAGATATTCACTTGACATATATGTCCACTGAAGGAAATGCAGTTTAGATAGATGATACTCACATCTGGATCTATATTTGCTTCATTATCCATTTTCCAGCACCATGACATAGACCAGACATGTCAAACACAAGGCCCGGGGGCCGGATGCAGCCCGTGAAGTGGTGTTATGTGGTGTTATGTGTTATGTGGCCCACGAAGCCATCCTGGAAACAGTGAGGGAACAGCCCAGGCCAGCCGGGAGCCAATGTACAATTTTGTGGTGGCCATCTTGGCACTTGTCCCAGTGGACCATGCCTTGGCACTTGCCGCGGTCCTACCCCCTTCTGCCAGAGACCCTCAGATCTGTCCCACTCCTGCCCAGGCCCCCCATAGGCACCCTTGACGCGAATGATGTAGAACTGGCCACACCCACCCAGTAGGCCACACCCACTCCATCCACACCCACACATTAGGCTGCACCCACTCTGGCCACACACACCCGCTCCCCCCAGGGCAACCGCAATGCTGATGCGGCCCTCAGTGAAATTGAGTTTGACACCCCGACATAGACTGTTACTTTAAAGACTATGACTGTTCATAGATCAGTGTAAGAGAATGTCTCCACACATATAACAGGTTCATGATTTGATGTTCCACATTACACCACATGACACTATATAAATTACAGTAAAAGTCTTGCAATTGGCTTGTTTGGGTAGGAAAGTTGTCTTCTCTCTCTTTCTCTCTTTTCCTTTTATAATGAGAGAAATAGGAAGGATATCAGGCAGGAGCTTTTGATATATTACTTGGCTCTGGAATTCATCATACTTACTTTGAGATTCTCCCAGTTGTATCAGCCAGGGGAGAGTAACTTGGCATGTTGAAACAACAATGTTCCTAGCTGGGAAGAGCAACTGCTGTGAAAAGAAACAGGAAAACACATGTGTGAGAATTTATCTAATATTTTCTCTGTGCCTTTTTCTGATGGATAGTTTTTGGTAGACAAAATGAAACTTTTAAATTAGTGAGAGTAGTTGCTTTTTTATTGACATGGAAAAACTTATCATTCCCAAAATGCCAAATTTCATCTTACATGTTATAAATTATGAAATACTCTTTTCAGTGCTCTCAAATTCTATCCTTCTGATTTGTGATTACTGATCATTTTTGCACACGCACACTCACTGGCCAGCCACTCAGGCCACGAACCAGTAGTAGGCTATGGCCCACAGGTTGGGGATCTCTGGTCTATGGTAAAGATTGTGAGTGAGTACATATAGACCTCAATGTACAGCCATTCATTTATCAACTGTTCAAAATTACAACAGCGCTGGAAAAAATGACTTATGACCACTTTTTACGCCTGACCATTCCCATGGCCATGTGATCAAAATTATGGCACTTGGCTCCTGGCATACATTTACAACCTTCCCAAGGAGTATCTAACAAGCAAAGTCCATGGGGGAAAGCTAGATTTGTTTAATGTCCATGTGATTCACTTAACAAATGCAGTCATTTGCTTAACAATCATGGCAATATGGTCATAAAGTCATGTATGGCTCATTTAACTAGCACCTTTCTTAGTAAAGAAATTCTTATCCCAATTGTGGTTGTAAGTTGATGTCTTTAATGTGTGTCACTGGAGCAACATATGTAAATATGGTGAACTAAGAAGAGCTGATTTGTGTGATCAAGAATGAGAGGATATCTTGTGACAGCAACCAACAAGTTTTACATGAGCTGATTAAGAACAATCAGCAGATCACTAAAATGGGAATTGCTGTCCATTTTGGAATCTCATAGGAACATATGGATTACATTATTGATGGTTCTTCAATACTAGAAGATTTGTGCAAGATGAATTCCTTGCATGTTGACAGCAAAGATTAGACTTCAAGAATTGAAATTTGCCTGCAATTGTTATCTTGACAAGAATGAAGATGAGGAATCCTTAACATAGTGACAGCCAACACAACATGGACTGATCATTATTACCCAGAACTAAAACATTGGTTCATGGAATATCATCACAAAATTTCACCCATGGAGAAAGATTTCAAAACCAGATATTAGCATGTAAACTAATGTTTACAATTTTGGGGGGATGTTATTCACATAGATTTCCTTGCAATTTGCACTATTATCAACTCACAACACTGTATTGCAACACTTTGAAACAATTAAGCAAAGTTTGAAAGAACCAGAAGGAATTTTTAATGCAACATGACAGCGCTAGGCTTTATACCTAATAAGCCACCCATGAAGCAATTGTGAAATCTTATTCCATCTATCATACAGTTCAGACTTGGCACCATGTGACTTCTACTTTTTGGGCAAAATTGAAAGAGTACTTTCATGGGCATCTATTTAACTGAAATGAAGAGGTGGAAAGCAATGTCAGGAACTGGTTGAAAAGACAAAGAATAGAGTTCTTTTGTGATGCCTTTAAGAAGCTTATCCATTCTTGGCAGGTGATTATATGGAAAAGTCAATACAGGTAATATAAGAGCTCATTTCAAGAATTACTCTTCTGTTTCATTTATTAAAATATGCTATTTAAGCAAAGTTATGGAAGTGGATGTTCCACAAGAAAGCTTCCACAAGAGGAAGATTTGTTTGAAGTTTATATTGATTTACAATAAATTACAAAGTGGTAATATTAAAGCACTGTAACTATGAAACAGATTTAGTAATATGACAAGACATAAGTAGATAATTATTTAGATTAAGAAGGTATATTGATATTAGCACTAATAGCTTCACATCAGCAAACCTGCAAATACAAATACAATTTCTAGATCAGCCTTGTTGCAAAATGATAGTGTATTGTCACTGTCATGGATCTTAACAGAAATAATTTCCAAGGAATAAATTGTTTTTGGCGTTCAAGGCCTTGTGCAGTGGACTTTTTATCAAAACTTAATTGTATAGCTACATCATTTCTTTGTTGGTTTGATGTAAATATTATAAAGTTGATCATCTAATTTGCATTTGTAGGCATCCTGTCAAAACAACAAAATGGGAGACCCATAAACATACAAACTCAATTTTCCCTCTTGGCTGTCTTTTGAAACTCATTGATGTCACTTCCTTCCTAAGTCAGCAAGTGAATTTTTCTTTAATTCTTAGTCCCAGCTGTCTATGTTGTCAACACGAAGTTATTAAAATTCCTTTAAAGTGAATAAAAATAGCCTAAAAACAAATGTAGTGGGAAGCAGGAAAGCATCAGTATTCAAAGTCCACAAACCTTTGAGCAAAATAGAGTTGAACCAAGTAGAGATTGAAAACATTGGTCTTTCCTCGCATCTTGTACATCATTAAAGGTTGTTTAAAATACGTTTGCCTTAATCTTTTATTACCCCCCAAAAGAGAGTGCCTTATCTGGTTAAAAAAAGTAGCCTCAAGATGTGAATTTTCACAATGATGTTCTCAGTGAACTCTATTGCCTACTGAAAGTCTGCCTGAATAATGTTGATTTTCTTTCTCAAAGCAGGAAAAAAAAACATTTCTGCAAAACAAAATGTTACACTATTATGCAGAAAGTAATTACCATAAAGAGGCAATCCTCTGTCGTAGCCTAAAGCAATAAGTAATCTTGATTTTGTTTTATTTTTTAAGAAGATTATTATTTTAGGAGATCATTAGGCAAGTTACTTTCTTACTTGTAACAGTGTAATACTTTTCATCCCATCCCATCAACTTACTTAATTTTGAACATAAATATTTATTTTATTTTTATTATATTTTTTAAAAGCTCAACATGACTTAAGATTTCTTCCTCATTTATCTTCTGAATGGCATGGTAGATGATGATTGTCTCCATTTAGTTTTCTGCCTGAATGGAGAATGTATATTTAAGCCTGATTCTATATAATTTAATATATATTGAAAAGGTAGATACAGCCCTGTAAACACTAGCGATCCAGATAAAGGAACCAATTTGTTTAGTAAGAAGTTGACATTGCCCCTTCCACAGTCTGCCCCACTTCTGAGTTATGGTATTATTCACCCATGTCTAAGTCATCAGAGACTGGCATGAAATTTGCTGTTCCCATTGTCAGTTCCTATTCCCAACAACTGCCACATCACCTGACCTTTCTCCAGAGTACCAATGACAAAGCCTAACATATATTATATACCTTAAGGCAGGGGTGTCAAACTGCCGGCCGGTGGGCCAGTTGCATCATGCGGAGGCTGCGCCCACCCCAGCTCTGACAATGTGACAAAAGTCACGATACGTCACGACACGTCACGTGACATGGTTTGGAGTTATTCATGTGTGAAAGATTATTCGCTATGTTGTAAAATATGAACTATAAAATGCAAACTATTTAACATTGTAATGGTGTATTTCTGTTTGACCTGTTGTGAGGTATTTTTGATGATGGCTATCTTATAGAATCAAGAGATGAAGAGATCGAACCAGAAATAGTTCACCTACTGTAAATGGGACAAATCATTATTCTAACACGCCTAAAAGCCATTTTATAAAAGCCAACAGGAATGATTCAAACACTTCTAAAAGCTGGTGGTTTTTTTCCCCATTGACCTTGTTTTGAAACTGATATGGCCACTTTCTCTGAACTAAAACCTTTTTTCTTTCTTTCAGGGACTGAAGAAAAAATGCAGCAGCAGATGATTAATCAGGTATTTTGATCATTTTTAGATATATTTCAGTTGCACAGTTAATAAAATCTATGCATTGTGCATTTTTATATGAGAAGAAATAACACAGGAATCTGCATCTAGATATTTATGATTTATCTTATAAACAAATACATCAATGAAGGCCTCTAGGCAACCAAATAGGTTGCAGAAATCCAGCAGTAAGATGATCATTTGCAGGTAACTCATGCCTGTTTTTTATGTTGCAAAAGCACCTGTTTATTATTATTTTCTTTCATAGCTGTCCAGCAGAATTATGTGTTTGGGGGGACTACTCCAAAATGGATTGTTGAAACCGTGGATGCATGCTGTGACTCTTTTACTAGAGGTACTCCAAGATCCACAGCCTTGGATGGAGATTGAAATGGACGCTCTGGCTGTTTTACTAGACGTAGCCAGGAATAAATTAACCATAGAAATCCATGCAATGAATGGATTTTGTAATGTGTACATAATAGGGCTAATTTTAATCCTGGAAACTATGGCTAATGTGAAATGTGCCAACTAGTTATTGAGAGGATAACCAATTATGAAGATAATAGCCTCTCCTGAAGGAACCATTCTTGCTGGTTCCTGAATCAAATTCAAGGCAATCGTTATGATGCAGACTAGAAACTGGGAAGTTCTAGTCCAGTGTTTCTCAACCTTGACAATTTTAAGGCATGTGGACTTCAACTCCCAGAATTCCACAGCCAGCATTGCTGGCTGTGGAATTCTGGGAGTTGAAGTCCACATGCCTTAAAATTGTCAAGGTTGAGAAACACTGTTCTAGTCCCACCTTAGGCATGAAAGTCATTTGGGTAACTTTGGCCCAGTCACTCTCAGCCCAAAGCCCAAGGTTATTGTTGTGGGGGAAATAGGAGGAGGAAGATGTTCATTGCCTTGAGTTACTTACAGTGATAAAAAAGGCAGGAAATTAATAAATAATATAGAACACCTATGGTAGATGACTTAGGAACTAATGACACATCTGGTTCCTAATACATCTGGAGAAGGCTACATCTGTCAGTGGTGTCTTACATCAGGATGCAAATTCTTGATACAAATGGCCTCTTGTGTATTTCTTTCCCTGATCCAATGCAGCTTGTACCAATACATTTAAGAAATTGAACCAGCTTAAGATAAACTAATCATCCAAATCTTCAGTTGAACTGTTGCTGTTCAGCTTACCAAACTGCTCAGATATTCTCATGTATCCTAGATTTTAAGCTGCTTATAGTTATTAGCATGCTGGAGTTTTTGTTTTGTTTTGTTTTGATTGAATGTTTATTTATTTATTTATTNATACCCAATTTAAAACCTAATTAAAAAGAAATATTTACTATGGCCTATATAATTAAAATTTCTCTTAAAACCCCACTAAAAATTCCCCTAGGCCAATCCCGCTTGTTGGAAGAGCCATGTCTTCAGGGCGCGGTGGAAGGAGGGGAGATCCGGGATCACCCGGATCTCTGGGGGTAGTTCGTTCCAGAGGGTGGGAGCTTTAGACTGCGACCCTGAAATTATCTATGGAGAAATTGAAAAAATATTTAGAGTCAATTCATGGGTCGCACGTCAAAGAAAACAACCTAGAGATGTTGTTTATTTTTCCAGAAAAACACGTAGAAATGAAATTATACAGGCCTTTTACCAGCAGAAGTTTCAGATTGCTGCTCAGGATATCATACTTTTGAAAGAAATACCTTCAGAAGAGCAAGCTACAAGAAATACCTGCAGAAGAGCAAGCTACAAGTTGCCTCAGGAAAGGAAAGGAGAAATTTAAAGGGACACAAACCTTCACAGGCTGTTGGGACATGGATGGCTTCGAGGATTGCTTTTGCCTTGCTTTGAGGACTGTTCTTGGCTTGCCCTGGCCCTGAGAACTCCCCCTTCGGACCTGCCTTGCCTTGGACTCTGTCCTGTTTTGCTGGACGTCAAGTGGAGCAGGCGGGATGAAAGGAAGTTGCTGTTACTGGAGACTGGCTGGCATCGCTTTAGGCGGGCTGCTGCTGCTAGAGACTGACTATCATTGCTCTGGCTGCTGTTGCTGGGGACGGACTGCCATCGTTGTACACCGGCTGCTGTTGCCAGGAACTGTCTGCCATTGACCCCTGTGAGTTTTTGCTACCTGAGATTGACTATCATCATTCCACTCTGGTTTGACAACGTCGTCAGGGTGGAATGCCGGAGGTTCGGAGATTTGCTTATGGGACCAGCTGTTTTTGCGTTCTGTTCATGGATGGAGCAGTCGCGGTCCTGGAGGGGATCCAGAGAGGCCACTTTGCAGCTTCGAGAGAAGGACGGCTGTTTGGCTGGAACCCAGGTTCGGCGGCTCTTCTGCTCCCAGAATGTGGCCATTCCAGAGTACCAGCTAAAAGAACTGAACTTGATAGCAGATAGAGCTTCATAGGAATTATAGGGTTGCGTTGGAGGTCACTGTGTGCCCGTGNCTGATAAAACGCCCCCCTGGTCACGGCCGACAACTGGTCTTCCAGTGTCAGCCGTGAATCCAGGAGGACCCCCAGATTGCGTACCCTCTCCGAGGGAGCCAAAATTTCGCCCCCTATAGTCAGCGATGGAGTCAGCTGACTATGCCGAGGCGCCGGCAGCCACAGCCACTCGGTCTTGGAAGGGTTGAGCCTGAGTCTGCTTTGTTGGTTTTATTTATTACAAATAAACATAATGGTCATCATTGGGGGGGGTGTATTTTTAATATTAAAAATCAAGTTTTAAAAACTATTTTAAAAGATTAAATCCTTTTAAGATGACTACACAGATTCCCTGTGAAATGTGACTTCAGAATCAAAAAAAATCTATATTATAAACAATAATGCAAATGACAGAAAACTCTTCAAAACTGATTACAGGTAGTCCCCAATTTACACCCTGTCACTTAGCACCCATTTGAAGTTGTGCTGTAAACTACCCAGTTCCAAATTTCCAATAGCTATCCATCCCCCCTCCCCCCAGTCACGTGACCACATTTTGGGTGCTTGCTTAACAACTGTGGTTGCTTAATGACTGTGGTGGTTGGTTTATGACATAGCATTTGCTTAACCACCACCACCAAAAAGGTTGTAAAACTAGGTCCAGTCACATGCTGATCTGTTTTACAACCATTCAGGACTACCTGTCACAAGAAATAGATAAAGGAATTATTAAGAATTAATTAAGCTAATGCTCAGTATATCTTTGATGAGAAATTAACCATATATAACAAAGTACATGAAATTATTTTAATATCAGTAAGGAATTAAATCTCTGAATTAAGTGAGGAAAGGAAGGAAGGAAGGAAGGAAGGAAGGAAGGAAGGAAGGAAGGAAGGAAGGAAGGAAGGAAGGAAAGTGTATGTTTGGTTTGATCATGAAGCCTGAATGAACCATATTTGCTTATATAATTGTATTTTTCTTAACTGTTGTGGTTGTCTCTGACATGAAAAGCATTTAAAGGAGAGACTAGCGGTGAGATTGTTAGACTGAATAATTTTCTTACAAGGTTCCATCCTTTTATCAAGCTTTGTCTTACAATATGTTCTTAAAAAAAATTGTCCTTTCTTATCGCTAAACCGTAAGTATCTATAAAGCCCAGAGATCAATATAAGATGGCCAGCTATATAAATGTTTTAAATAAATAAATAAAATAAAATAGCTCCTTCCAATATTGACATTCTATTATTGGGGATCTTATCTATTCTTTTAGCCATGACAAACAGTTTGCTCTCTTAATTATTCAGCCATCTATTAATATCGTCATTAATTTATGCTATACAGTTTTAAAGATTCCAATCTAACAAAGAAGATATTTCCCTAGGGATAATTATCTTCAAATATTTCAACAATCCTATTTTTATATTTCTATACAACTTACTTATTCAAAAAAACATTAAATTTATTTCGATTTCTGGTATATCCAGAACATTTACAACTTCAACATTAGATAATATAGAACAGGGGTGTCAAACTGCCGGCCCGTAGGCTGGACACCTCACAACGAAACCGCACCCACCCCATTGCCGGCAATGGGGAAAAGGTTCCGATATGTTGCGTGACGTCACATGACATCGCAAGTTTGACATGTCTGATGTAGAATATCAATGTATCTGAAGGTGTTGAAATTGGGAAAAAATATTCTCTTATCCTCCTTCCCCATGTTTGTTAGAAATGTGTTTTGAAATAAATCAATACAAAGCAAAATATATTTCATACCTTGGTCACTTTTGTCCCTCTTTGGAAGATTAGGCTTTACTATTTATCATTTTCTTCTGTTTTAACAGGATTTTGGAAGCTATTCTACTGAGGAATCTGAAAAACCAAAAGAAAATTGGATTGTAGGAAAGTATTTTCACAAAGACAGTAAAGCTTTGATTGAGAGTGAAGATTCTCAGGAGCCCTATCTTTTCGGGGGAACAGAAGGTTCTTTGACCACTAATTTTTCTGAAGACCCACAGAACGTTCTTAAACAGCTCAAAGAAATGAATTTTTCATCCACCAAGTTTTATCAAAATAAATTATTTAATAGGAACAATAACTGGAAAACCACCGATGAGATACAAGAGAGACGGAAATTTGTTCTTCGTAATATTTGCCAAAAATATGTTAATGGAAACAGAACCCAGACACCTCTTGTGCACATGGTCTCTAGAATATACGTAGAAGATAAATACAAACTCTTGTATTGTGAAGTTCCTAAAGCAGGCTGCTCCAACTGGAAAAGGATTCTGATGATACTTGGTGGTCTCACAAAATCTGCTGCTAATATTTCTCATGACAGTGTACACTATGGAGATCATTTGAAGAAACTAGATAGTTATAATATAAAAGAGATATATAAGCGTTTAAAAACATATACCAAAATTATATTTGTCCGTGATCCAATGGAAAGATTGGTGTCTGCTTTTCGGGATAAGTTTGAACACCCAAACAGTTATTACCATCCTATATTTGGGAAGGCTATTATTAAGAAATACAGACCCAATGCAGATAAAGAGGCATTGACAACTGGCTCAGGGGTGCAATTTAAAGAGTTTATACAATATCTATTAGATCCCTATAGGCCATTAGGTATGGATACGCATTGGGAACAAATTAACAAACTTTGTTATCCTTGCAATATCAATTATAATTTCATTGGCAAATTTGAAACTCTGGAAAAAGACGCCAATTATTTTTTGAAACTAATAAATGCTCCAGATGAGCTCCTATTTCCTCATTTCAAAGACAGACACTCCACTGACAAAAGAACCAATTCAGAAGTTGTAATGAAATACTTGGCAGAAATTCCTGCCACAGAGAGATTGCAGGTTTACAACTTTTACTACCTGGATTATTTAATGTTTAACTATACTGTACCATATGAGACATTCCAATTTGATGTAATGCATAATCCGGTTTACCTATAACTTATGAGAAAAAGTATAATTTCTTAAATGGAGATGCTTTGATTTGCTAAAATTTTGATAAATGTAAGTGCCTAACATTTAGGAAGCAACATAATGCAATATAATTAACACGAGTGGCATTAAAACAATTGTGTTTTATTGTATTTATTCAATTGCTGCAAATGCATTTTTCTATATTTCAGGGAAGAGCAGTTAAAAGCTGGATTTGTGTTTTATTATCAATCAAATAAGGAAATATTAGAGAAGAGTCAATATGTGTGTTCTCAGAGAAATGTACGCAATGGTTCAGTATTAGCTTATCTACTTGAAAAGCTCATTTCTGTCTGGACAGATGGTGCTTAGAAATAATATATACTGCAACCACTGATTTTTCTAAAACCATAAATATTTTGATTTTTTTTTAAAAAAGAGCCATAATTGCAGATAAAAACACACTAAAAATAAAAATAAATAGTAAATAGTTTACTAGAAAAAGGGTCTCAACCCCTGGCCCATGGCATGCCAGAAACTGGACCGCGCAAACAAGCGAAGCCCCATCCGGGGGATGCGGCTAGCATGTGAAACCATGCCCCCTCTGATCCACAGAAAAATTCTCCACGGAACTGGTCCCTGGTGCCCAAAAGGTTTAGGGCCACTGTACTAGATAATAAAATAACTAGCTTCACTACTGTAATAATATAAGACATATTATTTCAACAAACAATTCTTCATTGTATAGCTACATAGTAATTTTGATAACAATTTGAACACATCTTTATATACATAAATGTTTGACATTGGTTACTCCAAATATAAGTTGTTCTACAATATTATTTACTAATATCCATTTTGTTGTCTGCACAGTTCTTCGGCATCCTTGTGTTTATTGCTGCAGGATCAGATAATTTTGCTTCAATTTGTTTAGTATGCATTTCAAGCATTTTTAACTCTTCTTAAATTAATTATTCATAATAAATTGTCCTATATTTCATGAATGAAGGCAAATATACGTGTCCCAGGATAATGTTGCAGGATCCAATCTGGGTCGGTCACTGGGACCATAAGTTTAGTTTTCCAAGCTTTTGGACTTGTGCTAGAGCCCATCCTCACTTTATTCTCACCAGAATCTGCTTTGAGCACACACTCTGGTGAGAGACAAGTTCCCTGAGGATGGACTGATCCAGATTGAATCCTGTCCTATAGTTCTTTGATGGGAGAAAGTTAGCATTTTTTAGCGTTATTTCTAACTTAAGAAATCAATTATTTACTTAAATCCTACGATCAACATCCCAAAGTCTATTTTCACACATACTTCAACTCTATTACTTGTATTTATTGTTATATCTTAATAATGATCTTTATTTCTTTGAAATTATTGAATTCTGTAGGAAAAAAGGACATGACTGTTGAGAAAACAAAAGAATTCTTCTTTCACTGCAGGAGCCTATTCTATTCAGAGTTGTTCAATACAACTCTTGTTTGTTCAATACAAGCAAAACCCTTTACAAATATGAATAAGAACAAAGGTTTGTGGGATGAAAACTAGTCTCATCTGGCTATTATGCTAATCAGTACTCAAGGCAGGAATTCAGAAAAAGGCTATGTCTATACAACATCTGAAACACAAAGTGGCTAATCATATTTCAATTTAGTGTGTTGTATAAATCCTTCATGTAGTTAGTGGTCAGCATCTTGTGTGAGTCTAACGAATAGGATTAATTGATAAAGCATTGGTAAATTAATTATGTACAAATAACGTAGTTTATGAATATAGCTAATGACTTAGGATGGACAGTCCAGGAGTCAAGCAATCATTTACAGTGCTGGGGATATGGGATTCAAGAATGATGTTGCCTCAACCTAAATATGATTGATCACTGCTCCATGCCAGATTGCAAGGTAAATGAGGAGGGGAAATGCTGAATACAAATTTCAGGCCACACTGCAGTGTCTATGACCTAAAAACCAAACCTTTCTCTGTATAGGATTTACATACTTTGTTTTGAAGGATCTTGTCTGATTTTCAGTGAATCTGCCAGAGGGTTATTTCAGTACATTGTAGAACTATTGATCTACTTATTTTGCAACATGTATAGCCTGCTCTAGTCTAAACAGTCTCTGATAAAAGTGTAACAAAATCAAGAAAAGATAATACATTAAAGATCACACATGGGTAATAAAAATCGGTTAAAAAAAAACCTTAACATCATAACGTCGTTCAGTTAAACTAACCTAAGTGCCATATGACTATTTTTTAAAATGCCTTTAGAAGGAGATTGTACCTCCAAGGAAAGACACTTCGTAACGGAGCTAGCATGTCACCTGGCCCATCCCACATGAATCTTCTGAAAATGGGAGTCCTGCAACAAGCCCTTTCTAGATGACCAATCAGAAAAACACATTTGACTTGAGCAACATATCTCTGGGCCATGAAGAGTATTGAAGGTAATAATCAACAGTTTGAATTGAGCCACCGAGCCTAATTCAACTAAGGAGGTGACTTCAAAATTGTTGCTATTCCTACATGACTGGATTGGTCCATGAGTTGTCTAGCTGCAATTAAGTGTAACTAACCTGCTATAGCTTCCATGTGATCTCCAATTGCCGCCATACATAGAGAACATTGCAAGGATTGTAATCGGAACAAGTTACAAGTCAGCAATCTTGCTTGATCCAGGAAAGTTTAAAATTAGTTCACTAGCCATGTCTGGGTGAAAGTTCCCTGGCAATAGCTTTCACCAGCTATTTAATCTTCCCTATGTAATTCTCCTTTCCACCAATCCCTGAAACCTAACAATACTCCCATTGCCTGGGAGCTCCTTAGCCTCCACATTCTATTTCAAAAGGCTTCGTTCCACCCCTTCTTCAGCCTTCTCCATCTCTCAGCAGGGAGGAGGGGAGGGATGATGGAACTGTTCTTTTTCTTACCGGTTACCAGTACTCTTCCTCAAGCCTGCCTAATGTTCTGGGGATCCAGGGTTAATCTCTGGAACACCTCAACAGCTGCCAGAACTGTTCTCCAAACAGCAGCTGGGTTTCTGCAGCAGTAATTCACCACCGTTCCTTGAGTCACTCAGTTCTCATTCTATTGTGCTTGGCATGTTCTATTACTGACTGGTCTGCTCGATCCAACTAGAATAAAGTGTTCCTTACCTGTATAAAATGAAGCCAAAGGTACAACTGTAGCCTCTGCCTTCTTGGTGCATTTTCTGATTTTGAAGCCATCATCAAATTTCAGTGGTGATTTCTAAACTAGTGAAAAAATGAACAGTTCTGAATGAGATATTACATAATTTTATTCACTTATTTTTTATATAAATTTGCAAATTGATGAAAAGTAATCATTACAAATCCTCTTCATGCCTAGTAATTTTACAGGATGTATAGAAAATAAAGGTTGCTTAAGGTATTCACTTCAGATAATAATGGCTGCTTCTCTTGGATGCTTATTTCCAAAATCATGTCAATTTTATGTAATCCAAATATTATCCTAAATCCTAAAGGAGCACTTTTTCTGATGATACTCATATTCTCTCCATGAAAGAAATTTGTTTGGACTTCAGGTGTTAAAGAAAAAACAATAGAGGCAATTTCTTTTTTTCTGTTTGAAGCATTTTTCTCTCTCCTTGTTCCTTCTGCCTTGATATTTCTGGATGAGGATCATCTATCTCTTGCAAGAAGTCTAAATGGATCCTTTGCAATGAAAGGATGAAAATAACCTTACAATCTAATGTGACACAAAGGCTGCAGGTTGTCCAAAGTGATTACACTCCTATAAGAATATTCTGTATAGTTTTCTAACATTACAACAGTTTTCAGAAATGTGAAGAAGTTCTGTTTAATATCGCTTGGCTTCAATTTGCAGCTCCTGAAAGATTTCAGGTGACTTATCTTACTTAGCTAGAACATGATGGCCAACTGGGATACTGATAAAGTTGAACACAATAAGAACTTCAGAAGAAGCTTTACATTTCTTTAAATCTGTGTGAATCTTTACTCAATACAGCTGGTTTGAGAAATTTTTACTCAACATTCATCTTCAACAACTATGACCATAAGCCAGTGATACTCTGCTTGAAGAAAATTCAGCATTCTTTGAAATATGAATAAAAATGAGGCTTACCACATCACAGGGCTGAAATATTTACAGCAAAGTTCAATTGCTTTCTGCTCCTCTGTGCAGAAGTAAGTTTTATTTAGGTCAGTTCAGAAAAATAAATGTTGGCACAGATCTTGTGGCAATAAATGCATTTCACAAAACATCATGTTCTGGGACTGGCTTTCTTTTTATGTTGTTCCCCTATTTAAATTCCCCCTTTTGTAATTCCTCTTTGTTTATTTCCTCTTCTTTCAACTTTATTCTTTGCTCCCTACATTCTTGGCAGCAAGTTTTTTAAGCAGACTAGATTTCCAACTCAAGGGAATGCAGATCTGAATAACAATGATTTGGGATGAAGATAGCGTGAGATTCCATGGAGTGTTCCTTACTTGTTCTACTGTTTTAGTTCTCAAAATTGTTTCAGATTAAGTATCCTCTCTGCACTGGCTTATTATTAAAGTATAACCAAGTTGGGGCAAAGGATAGATCTATTTTATAAAATGTATTTTACCAAATAAAAAATGAGGAAGTATGTCTAAATCATTTCAATTTTTAAATATGGTGGTTATCTCCAACTGGCATTACAGAAGGAGAAAGACAACATATCACTTTTGTGTCATTTTCAAATAAAGAACATTTGATTGAATTTGGGTGGGTTTTAAGTTCATTAATTGAGAAGAACACCTTATACAAAACATAGCAAACTGGTGATTACACCAGACTTTTAAAAGTTAGATATCTACTTTAAATCTATTTATCTATGAAGAAGATGGATGGTCCATATTAAATATTAAAAATATTAGGCTTTCTTAAAAATGCATTTCAACATAAAGTAATACTGAATAACTTAGGAACTGCCAAATCAGTCAAATTTAAGAAGAGAAACATGTTTGTAAACATTTCCCATGCATTTCCCATTTCCCTAGTTTTAAGACCTGAGAATGTACGTGCAGAAGCCTAATGCAAAGCAGCTACCAATTCACTTTCAGTTCTGTTTTTCTTCCAGATATTTTTTTTTTTTGCCAAAGAAACAAGATCTTCCAGAGTACA